CTATATGTATATTCATATAATTGAAAATATCTTTTGTGATGTAACTCTTTCAAAAGTACATAAAAATGGTTGCCAGCAGGGGTGTACATGTAGATTTATTAAATACACTTTGTGCGCCACCTAGGAGCCAAATCTAGAACTTGACACTCGAAATTTTTGCTCTGTTACAATAGTACCCTGTTACATTTGACCCCACTCTCCCCTACTCTCATTTAGTACTAAGACATTCATTTCAGACAACGATAAAAAAAAAATTCGATTGAATAATAATTATTGCGTGCGTTATATGTCAGACAAGATTGTGGAATTGCCATATTAAAGAATTATGAAAATATGAAATTTAAATTTTATAGCCAACAATTTTTTAAAAAATTTATATAGCTGTTACGGGTTAATTTTTCCAACAATTTAAGCTTTTAAGTTTTAACATACTGTGAGATAAATCTTTCAACTATTGAAAGTCTTATGTTAATGTTTCATTTAATTGAATTCATGCATTAAAGTTACAATGAATGAGTGGATCATTAATGATATTCTATGTTACACATCGTGATTAATATAAAAATTATGGGTAATCAAAATACAATTATGAATGTATATAAAAAAAGATATTTTCTCTTGCTCTGTAATTAGTAAATTTAGTAAAATGTATTGAAAAAAAAAGACTAAAATCGTAATAGGTTTACCATTTTGAATGCACTAGTTCAACTTGTCGTTAATTGAAAAAAAATTTTCTTAATCAAGCTTCAAAAATATTTATACTGCCTACAGTTGTATCTTATTTTCCAACAATTTTATATTTTTAGCGCAATCAGATTTTAACTCATGTCACGGCGTCCTACCATACGAGGTTTATTATCCACTATATAGATAAAGACTAAAAAGAATTTGTCGTTGCATTTAAACTATATGTATTTTCGGCTTACCGATTCTATTGAATCTGTGGTTCGATATTGATATATATTGGATTTTGGAAACACTGATCTAAATAATAATACACATGATTCAATGTATTTGGGAAATGAATACTTTTATATTGCATCGAGAAAGTTATTTCTGAATTATAATAGTTCAAAATTGAAATTAATGCTTAATTGAAATTAAATTGTTCAAATAAATCATTGAATCTATGATTAGATATGGAATTATTATATATCTGCTGGAAAAAAAATCTTTAAAATTATAGTCCTGTATGAAATAACATTTCTGGTAAAGCAAAATCCTAGTAATTCTGGTTAATAAAAAATAAATATATGGTATTTCAACATTCTTCATTTGGTAATTTTATCTTTCATATATAGCAGTTTTCCGAAATTCTGGTTTTTAAGATTATAGTTCTTATTTACCCACATTTAGTAAAAAATACAAAATTGAATATAAATGTAACGAAATAAAAGATTTTTGTGCCACGCGCTACGATATCATGATAAAATTAAAAAAAAAAAAACATTGCAAACATTACAAAATTTCATCACACATCATAAAACCATATTTTATTGCTAATTTTACCGAATTGCTACTGTAAAAAAGTACGAAGCTTTTTGATGTTCCCATAGAGTTAAAAACAAGGTATAGTCTATCATATTATAGCAGTTTTGACCATACACTTTTTCTTAGAGTGATATTCATAATAAAACGTGCAATTCAAATTTCTTGAACCATGCATGACTTAATACCGAGAAACTCTGTTTTAAAAAAATCTATTTTTTTTACTATTATATATTACTGCATTTAAACTTCTAGTTTACACAATGATAAACATAAATTGTTTGCGTATTCTGATTAAATTATGTTTCAGAGAAACTATGAAACAACGTTTAAAAATACGCGTAGCTTATTGCTCAACAAAATAAGCTACTTCGAAAATAAAAAATCACTTTCATTGCAAACTTAAATAAACGTTTTCCCAAAATAAATAAATTATTCGAAATGAAATGTCAGGAACGCTTTTTAATTGCTCATTACGAGAGCAATGTTTCTTTTAAAATAATAAATTCATATCACCTCTTTTCACCAAGAGCTCTATTCAACAGCTTTTCGGCTGAAATACGATTGGTGTAAAACTAGGACGAGTAATAAACGTCTATCACTTTTCAGAATTAAATGAATTTATGTTTCTGATTCGGCCGCCAAAATTGCCATTCGGTCCGAGAAAATTAATTAAGTAACGCAAGCTATGTGACTTTCTATGTACTATTGCCGGCAGCTCTCCTATATCGAGTTTTGTTTAAGGCTAATAATAAGTTTGTTTAAGGCAATAAGAGAACAGAATAGCAATTTGTTCATTCTTTTTAGTGCTCTGAATTGTCTATTGTAAATAGAATTGTTAAGTAGTAATAAAAAGTAGGATTTCAAAATAACATTGAATTACATTTTTAATATTTTGAATTTGAAACACTTTCACTTTTAATTGATAATTCAGTTTTACCGGGTATATCAAATATGAGTAATGGTGTGAAAAATGTTTTAACGAAAAATATAAGAGAAAAAAAAATTATCTAGTTTTGCTGTGCTGTACTTTGGTACCAAAGATCTTCAACAAATAGAGTATGCCACTGTTAACCCTGTAGGGGACGCTAGGTCAAATGACAATATTTATTTTAATTTCTTAGAATTCGATGTCAACTACTTATAATGGTTGTTATGAACTATTTGCAATGAATTTTATTAATAAGCTTTTGAAAGATTTCGCTCAGTTACAAAGAGAATTAAGCTGTCAAGTAAAATTCAAGCCATTGTGTCGGAGAAATTTCAGTTTGAGAAATATAGAAGAAAATTGTCAGTCTTATAAAATTTTCTTATAAACAGTAAGACTTACCTTTTTTCTTACCCTTATTTCAATATGGAAAACAAAGATTTATCTAACGTAAAAATTATAAAGTTTAAATTTATTAAAAAATTATAAAGTTTTAATTTATTCAAAAATTATAAAGTTTTAATTTATTCAAAAATTATTAAAGTTTTAATTTATTAAAAAACTATTAAAGTTTTAATTTATTAAAAAATTATTAAAGTTTTAATTTATTAAAAAATTATCAAGTTTTAATTAATTAAAAATTTCTCACCATTATAGTTTTTAAAAAACTAGTTATATAGACTATAGTTTTATTTTGTTTTAATTATTTGACAAAAATAAGTCATCGACAAAAAATTTTTTCCATTAAAATCTCTTTAAAAACTTTTACCTGACCCTTTAAATTAAAAAGCTATTGCAAAAGACAATTTTCTTTTTTCTATATAGTTTGAGATGTGAAAGGGAAATTATGTATAAATAACTTTTTCCTTAATAATTCATTTAATTTCCAAATTAGTTAAAAAAAACTAATTAGCTCGTTTATTCGAAGAACATTAGTCTATATATTGCCACCCTACTTCAAACATCGTTTATAAGGTTATTTTTTTCGTAACAAGAGAAGAAACAGGTCGGAGATCTAAAGACAATAGACATCATAGTCTAAGGAACAATACCGGCCATTTTAATTAAAATGGAACAATAGATTGATTTCTTCTTCACTTTCTTTTGTTTTGGTGGTTGATGGATGTTTGAGTGTTTGTTTCTGATCCTAACGATGTGTCATCATTGAATTTCTTCACCTCAAATGTGGGCTTAATAATGTTTACACATATTTAGTTATCCTAAATATGTTTCTAAGTTAGATATTTAGTTTCTAACTATGTGTCATCATTAAATTTCTTTACCTCAAACTCAGGCTTAATCATGTTTACACAAATTTAGTTATCCTAAATATGTTTCTACGTTAGATATTTGATTCCGATCCTAACGATATGTCATCGTTGAATTTCTCAACCTCAAATCCGGGCTTAATAATGTTTACACATATTTAGTTATCCTAAATATGTTTCTACGTTAGATATTTAGTTTCTAACGATATGTCATCATTAAATTTTTTCACCTTAAATGCGGGTTTAATAATGTTTACATAAATTTAGTTAACCTAAACATGTTTTTAAGTTAGATATTCTTTATTGCTTATATAGCTTTTATAATTCGCTGATAATATTATTATTGCCAGTATTTTTGAATTTTCATCCTTGTACGCCTTTAAAACTTTTCAAACTATTCCACTAAACTTCTGGTGGTATTGTTTATTAATTAACTATAATACACACTAAAAGTAGTTTGTGTACTTGCTTTTACATCTATGTGAACTTACATGTGTACCTATGCTTTTGAAAGTAAAACTTTGAAAATCTTTTAGCTAGAGTTAATTAGAGTAATTACTTAGACATGATATTTCTAATTTTCCCAAAGAAAATTTGTCAATTACTCTGTATTTTTGTTTATTGCTAATGTATAAATATTTCTTTTATTTCTTTGTAGGATGAGGCTTTTCTACCTGTAACTGTATACATTCTAGATATTAATGATCATGCACCTGAGTTTCAAAATACACCTTATTACCTAGAAGTAGATGAGGTTAGTATCATTTACCACTGGCTACTTGTGTTATTAAAATATTAAATAAACCTATGATGTAATGTATTATTACTTTAACTACTCTGAAATGATTAAAAATAACAATGCTTATAAACAATTTATATGATGATTATTAGATTGAAAATTATTTGTAACATACTTTAAATTACTTAAAAATCACCATAATTTTTTTCCTAGATTTAAATTTAAAATAAAAACCATGCTTGAAAATAATATGCTATTAAATGATTGATAAAAAAAACTTTTTTTTCAGCTTACACCAGTTGGCCTTACCGTATTTCGTGGTATCCACGCTGTAGATAAAGATAAGCCAAACACAGCCAACTCCGACGTTACCTACTCTATTGTGGTAAGTAAATTTATTCACTTGTTTAAAATTATTATGGACAATGAAGTAAAATTTAAGGAAATTTTTTGACAAGTTATAATTTATTTTTTCATATGTATTGTACAACATTTACAAAAAGCTAAATAAAATAGAATAGCGCATTTTATTTTCCGTAAAGTCAGGTAGTGCAAATAAACTGAACATTTTAGCTTCAAATTTACTTTCAATCACACGAAGATCTTTTCAATCACACGAAGTAAACAAGCAAAAAATTAAGTTTTAGAACTATACTATAGGAATACTCTACTTCTACCTGAAAAAAAAACTAAGGGTATTTTTTGTACAAAGATCATATTAATAGATTAAATAACCAACTCATCCCAGGGGGTATTTGGAGGAAAAAATCGTGCCTTCGCAATGGCTTCCCCCCCCCCAAGAGATGAACCCTGATTGGATATATGCCCAGGCAAGTGACCTTCACATTATAAAATTGAATAGCTAAATAATACATTTTAATCGCAAATCAGGAGTTTGAAGGTTGATTACCACAAGTTGAAAACGCAAAAAAGTCATATAAATTTTGTTCTTACTCTCGAAGATTTAATGTTACTAAATTTTGATATTACTATACAATAAACTTTCGTTATAAAATTTAATAGCAAATTTGTTACGTAACACAAAAATACAAATAAAAGAAAATCTTGTGTCCGAAAAGAGAAAATATGAGCTAAGGATATCCATAAAAATAGTTTGATAAAATTTAATACGGCTATATAATTTTAAAATAATTTAGGTTTAGCTACTGTTGTATAATCTCAAATGTGTTATATAATCTCAAATACTGTTGTATAACCGAAATTTATTACAGGAATTAAACATGCTTACATAATTTACTTATTGTTAAATAATCATACAATTATACACTAGCCATTTAGTTTTTGAACATATATTTGCACTTGATGAAGTAAGAGCTATGATTCAGTATTATAAAATCGAAAAAAACTAGAGTATTATTTCTTGCAAGGAACACATTAAAATTAGCTTCAAGAGTTTCTGCAATACATGGAATATTTTTGCAAAAACATTAAAAAGTTAATAGATAAATAAATTACTAAAAGTGTCTAGGGGGTATCTCCTTTTCCCATTTAAATGAATAATTTTAAGCGAGAGAAAAAATAAAATTGAGAAAAAAATCTACGATAATAGATGTTAGTTAATTGCTTGAAAACTGCCAACTAAAGTTACTCACACCTATTTTCCCTTGTTTTACACCTTGTTGTCATTTAAAATATTATTCTAGAACTTTTCGATACTTAACGAAGAAAACAAATTCTGGTAAAATTACCACACTGTATGGTTATGGCATTTCTTGTAAAATAACCCTGATTATGGTAACTAAAACGAAATTATACGGTAACCAAACCATTTATTTGGTAATTTTTCCGTTCATGTGGTAATGATTTATAGGTAATTCTGGCTTTTGAAATTATAATTCCTATTGTCACACACTTAGTAAAATGTACAAAACTGAAAAATAAGCTCAACTGAACAAATGATTTTTATATCATGCTCTGAGGTATCATCATAAAATGACAAATTTTAATACCTTCGCCAAATTTTATCACAGACTATAAAACCATATTTTATTGTTAATTTTACCGAAATCATTACCAAAGCGCATCGGTAAAAATTACCGAGCTTTTTGTGTTCCTTTAGAGCCAGAAACACGGTAAATCTTACCATATTCTGGTATTTTTGACCATGCTTTTTTTCACAGTGTTTATTGCGTTTTTCTGTATTAAGTAATGCAAAGAAAAATAATTTTTGTGTCTTAAAATTCAGAAACATAACTTAATATTATTTTTATTTTAATATTTTTTAAATTTTTTTTTAGAATTTCATCTGAACGTTGCTATGTAATTTGATGGTTAAAGAAGAACTAACTCATTGTTTTTTGTTTTTTAGGGCGGAAATGAAAATAACTCTTTTGCATTATCTGATCCCATTGAAGGAATATTAGTCGTCAATAAACCTTTGGATTACGATTATGGATCGAGAGAATTTAAGCTTCTTATTCAAGCTTCGGTAAGTGAAAATAGGTTTTTTTTTCATTCGTATCACAAACAAAGGTAATAAAAACTTGTTCTTGAAATTAAATATTTCATATAATATAATGTTAGTATGAATAGTGGTTTTGAATTGTAAGAACATAGTTCAATATTTGATGGATTAGCTAGCATTTATTAAAGTAAATGTTAACTTTTTTTGTATAATAATCGAGAATTTTTTTAAACTTTTGACCGAGGTCAAATATTAAAAAATTCTCCTGGTGAAAATAAATATTCTGCGGAAAAATAAATATATGGATTACTGGTGAAAATAAATACAAATGCTTTATAAATTAAACTACTTTATAGTTATTTTCTTGAAGCATCTTTCGTATCAAACTGGTTTTCAAAATAGTTAGTTTATGGAATAGTTTGCTATTTTTAAAAATTTTTTTGTAACAGTTAATCATAAATGTTGAATAAAATTTTGTCCAAATCTAGCCAGCAATCTTTTAGCGAGCGCTGATGAAGAAATTTACAATTTTCACCATTAATATGAAGAAAAAAAATTTCAATCTGATGATTTTTTAAAAATGAAAATCCTTATAATACTTAAAGTCATTTTGTAACATAAAACTGTCGTTGTTGTTTATTAAAATTGTGATTGTTGCTGCGTCGAATTTAAATTACCATAAAATTCATTTTTGTCATAAATCATTATACCGTAATTATCTGAGTAATATTTATTTAATTAGAGTGACTAAGTGATTTTACTCACTTGTTACTATAATAATTACAGTTCATCAGATTTTTGTACCGTAACATGTTCCGGTAAATTTTTACCGTAATTTATCAGATATTTATTTACACTGTAGTTATTTTACCAAATTAATGTAAAGAGATAATAAAAAAGCATCCAAACAATTGTATCTTTTATATCTGGTCCAAAGTATAATACTGGCGGTAAAAATCTCATTAAAAAACTAATTAAGTCTAAACCAATTTCTTAAAGGATTTCGTTATTTGCATTTTTTAGATGTACAGTATGTAACATTTTAGTGGGCATGTAATTTTAATGTTAGTTTGGTTGGAGGTGTCTAAGATTAATATTGTCCAATGTTTTCATTACTTTTATTTTTCTTATTTTAGTTTAATTAATATATAAATATTTAAGCATCATTCTTAGAGCACACGGACATAATCATAAATATTATGAATGCGGAACAAGATATAATATTCACGATTTCTTTTCTTCTAAACGCGGTCAGTAGGCAAAATCTCAATCCGCGTATCAAATTCTCTAATTATATATTATGCCAACACTGAGACCATCCCTTTAAATAAATACAATTCCCCATCCTAAAGAAAATAAATTCCGAAATGAAGGACAAAGTGAACAATTGATGAAAACAAATCGAAAGAATAAAAGCACATAAAAGCTGCCTGTAGGATAACTTGTTTAATTATTCCAAGAATTTTTTTTTCTTCTACCTAACGGTGAAAACAATAATGAAAGCTCTCTATGGGACTGTGTATGTATTGATTTTTTTTCGTCTTTGGCGCAATTCCTATTATGAAGGACACTATTTGCAAAGCTTATTGTGAAAGAATTGCCGACTTTTTCTGTTTAAGTTTAGTTAAAACGACTTTTATGCACAAATTTCGTCTTAGTTCTTTGTTTGAAGAAGTTCTAATGAAGATAGAATCCTAAGAGAAAACCATTTTGATAATTTGATTTTCTTATCGATTTCAATTTGGTTCTTTTCAAACAAGTAAAACGGCCAATTTTGAGGCTGTTTTTCTGAGAATCTACTCAGACGATTTTCAACTTTTTTTTATTCGAATTCTTTATTTTTAGACTAATTTTATTTTATTCTATTACTTATTTATTTGTTTTTCTTTTTTTTTGTGCGTAACTTCTAAAATTTTGGATTTTTAACATATAAATTGAAGACTAACAAGATATTTTTGTCAATAATAGCTTTGTTTTCTTTTTTGCTCATTTTTACTTGAGTTCGGTGTGGATATTAGGAAGTTTGCTTACAAGTTATTGTTTGTAGAAAAAATTAGAGTGCCTTAACACAAATGGTGGCAACAAACCCATTTAGCATCGAAATTGATTTCATTTGTATGTGATTTTTCCCTCGCTATCTTTTTCTTTTAGAAAAATCATAAAGGCTCAAAATTATTGTTTTAGTTTAACCATAAAGATAAAATAAAACTGAGAATTTTTCAGTGCGTTTATATTTTACCTAAAAAAAATTATTCTCCTAAGATATTATTCCAAACCAGGGCTAGTTCAAAAGTGCTTTTGACCCATGTTTCCAGACAAATTAAACTGTTTTTCAGTTTCCAACTAAAATGGTAGCTTTAAACTAATTAAAGTGTTCTTTCGCAAGGCAAAAATTAATTATGAAGTTGTTTGGTTCAGATACTTGTCAAAACTCTAAACTTATTATAAAAGTATTAAATAATATATCTAATAAAGTTTTCTTGAATTATATTTTATGGAATGTAAGGCTTATTGGCTAACTAGTTTAATGAGGCTATCCAGCATTACGATTACGGGAAGGTGATCGCCAAAATTGCCACCTTCCGGGCAGCACCCCTAAAGACAATCAATAAAAAAAGGGGGACCATCTGGAAGGGTACGAACCACCCTTCCAGATGGTTTACCCCCGGGCAAATCTCAACATGTTTTTTTTCTTTAATTATAATTGCTAATAAGTTATTAAATCCATTTGGTGTCTTGGCGATTGTAGCCAGATCACATAGCGATTGTAGATTTGGTGCGACAGATAACGATAAGGAAATATTTCTAGGATAACTTATAATATAGGTGAAAATCAGACATCAATTGAATGGTGCTTCAAACTATAAAACTTAAAAAGAGGAAAAGACAAACATTGAAAAGGAGACAAAGCACCAGAACATCTCAAAGTTGTTGAATTCATTTACCAGATGAAGATTACCTTCCCAAGAAAATTATACCAATCATGATCTTGGCGAGAGTTAATAATGCAGTTTTAAAAAGAAACTTAACTATTTCATTTAAATAAAGTAGAAAAATAATGCCTTAGATTGAAATCCTTTAAATTAACGGTAAAAAAATTTTAAAAAAAATTAAAAGCTTATCAGAGTAGGAAGTCAATTTAAAAGAGCTGAAAATAAAAAAGATAAATACCGCGACTAGTTACTACTCCATTTCACGTTTTGTCAAAGACCTCGAGATGCACATTCAAGGATAAATATTTCACCAAGCCATTCATTTTTCCAAACGCCCCTTTGGGCAAAATAAAACCTTGAACAGTGATTAAAAATTTTACCCTGACCAGATACTAAAAGCATATATGTTCATCTTTCTTCTTGGAGGAATTATGCTTACTCGTCAGAATTTGAGCATTTTAAGGCCAAGGTCAACTCACAATTAGACAATGATATAAAAAAGATTAAATATTTTATGGAAGTGCTTACAGGATGATAAAAATATTATTTGTTAATGAAATTTGACACGTGTCATTGATCACGCGTTTAAGTAAGCGCATAATTTAAAAATACCATCAATCGGAAACGTGCACGCTTAAATTTTATTCTTATACATGCTATAATGAATGATTTCATTCTTTTTAGCTTCTTCGTTCATAGTTTAAGTATTTGTATAATAGTCTATTATTTATTAGATTTCCTTGTAGAGGGTAATGTGAACCAGAACAGTAATTATTGTTTGATTTTTGAAATTTTTTTTTACAGAATTTGGGATTAAAAAAGCCTTTTTTTGCAATATAAGTGTTGTTTAAAAAGGATTGTTTTTGATGTGACAAACGATATAATAGTATAAAACGTGTAAATAAAGAAAAAATATTTTCATGATTCACTCGATTTTATGATCATCTGTTTATTACTCAAACCAGATAAAATGTGTAGGACTTCAACGTCTAAAAATTTATTTCGTAAAATAAATATTATTTATATAGTATAGTATAGTTCATTATAAATTTGAAATGCAAATTCTAGTACCCGTACGAAAGCTTGCTATCCTCTAATGTTATATGAAACTTTTCTAATAATATCGAGAATTATTTGATGTTATCATTTGAATTGTGATTTATCTTCCTCGATTAATGCAGTAAATTCTATTCTTATCAGGAAAAAAATAGTCATCAAATAAGTAATGTAGAAAAAAGGAAAGATAAAATTTGTGGATTATGTTTAAAAATATAATATCTTTCACTATAAAATTGTAATTAACGAACAATTAAATTTACTTACAAAACTATTTATATTAATTAATATTAGACATATTACGGAATTTAGAAAAGGTATTTTATGAAGTTTAATGGTTATTTAACAGCGATTTTAGACCGAACTCCAACTAAACAATTTATTTAAATTCCTAGTTTGATACTTTAATGCATAAAATGAGCAGATTTATTGCATCCTTATCAAAATGCATAGCAAAAATGTTTGTATTTTATGATTCCTTGATTCTGTAATTAATTACTTAATGAAGAAAAGCTTTGGCGTTGTCATTTTGTTTCGATAGTAATTTAACTAGCTTCTACAGTGGTTAAAAAACAAATTATATTGGAAAATATTTTAATTTTCCACCTTTAAGTGAATAAAATTGTTTGTTTTTTGCACTTTTTTGTACATAGATTGGAATTATTATTTGTAGATGCACAGTAAATGCGGAGAAAAGGTAAAGATAATTTAAAATTTCCCTACTTGGCTACTTTTTTTTCAAAATCTACGCTGAGGCACCTCGAACTTAAATTTTTGGGTGGGGGAAATCTCCCCTTTTGCCGAATGAAATTTCGAATTTGATTGAATCATAAATTAGAGACAACAGTTATTTTTACACATAATAAAGAAACATAAGGAACGGAATTTTTTAAGCGTTCATAATTTTTTTTATTTTCAAATATAAGCAAACAAAACTGCAAAAAATTACAATTTTACTGCGAATAGTTTGCTAAAAATACGATTTTCGTAAATATGCCAAATGACCAGACCAAATTTGCAGAAAAAGGAAAATCTTCGGGAGGTCACAGCGACCACCTGTATACTCCCCTGGTCTATGGTGCGTTCAATTTAATAATCGTAGGTTCATCAATTATTATCGTGGGGTTCAGTGGATTTTAATCGGTCATAACATCAACACACCGACGACATCAGTTTAACAAAAAACAATTATTTAATAACAAACATGAATTTCCATGTTCCGTTCCTGTCTTTGCGCTCGCAGCGCCCTCTCAGTTAGGACGTTTCACCAGTCGATAAAAATCGCTAAGAAGCACGTCTATTTTAGCTGATATATGCTCTTTCTAACACTATATTTTTCTAACGTTTTTTTCGTTAATTTATGTTAATATTCTCCGGACTCACCAACTTTTTATAATGAACTTGAAGGGCAAGGTCAAAGAGATGGGACATTAGATATACAGTGTTTTCACTGTTTTCTTTGGACTATTGCCAACTATGAGAATGTAAAAAAAAAATATCTTCCCGTTATTGCCGGAGGCACAAAATAACGGGAAAGTGGTTATAACAGTGAAGTGCGAGTAATTGCTACCCTAAGAGGAGCACAATAACTACAATTATCTAAGGTAATCAATAAATCGATGACGAAATCAACACAATTATATAGAAAACCTCTATATGTAAAATTCCTTGCTTTTATTTCAAGGTTTCGAACAAATATAATCTAGTAGGATATTGATGATTCTTTCTAATTTTGAGAACTGGGCGTTTGCTATCATTTTTTGGGACCTTCATTGACCATTTATTTATAAATAATTAAAGACTTGAAAGATTAACTTCTTAAGTATATAGAAACACTTGTATGTTTTCTGTTGATTTACCAACTGTTGTTAATTCGTTTCCGTAACACGAACCATTTTACCAAGCTTTAATTTTTTTTCTAAGATAAATGTCCTTGCGAAAGAGCTTATACATTAATTTTTTTCATTACTGAAACCTAACATATTTATATTTAATATTTTAATATATAAGCTACAGTTTGTTCAAGGTACTGAATAGAAATTATGAGAATGTAAAAAAGAAATTTAGTCATATGAATAGATAAAACCATTTCAAGGATTTGTGATTAAGATGAGATTAAAAATATTTTCTTTGACATTTCAATCATAGCATAGTTCGAGTTAATCTCTTAAGTGATCTTTCATGAATTAAAAAAAAATATGTATATCTTAATTATCCGTGATCATACAAGTTTGAGTTAATAACATTTTAGTTCGCTTTTTTGGTGCAATTATACAAATGTAAATCGCTCTAACTAAACAAATGTAAATCATTTTAAATTTGTTGCTGAGTTTATGGCAAAATATATGGTTTATTTGTTTTCAATTCTAACATACATTAAAAAAATTTAAATTAAATGATTAATGGAAACAAGATTAAATTTCAAGGAATTTTATATATTAAGCTTAATTTAATTTAAATTAATACTTACAATTCCTTTAAATTCAATCTTTTAAATTTCGATTTAAATTCATTTATAAAAAAAATAATATAATTCTACTTGAAAAAAAGTCCCAAATTCAGTTAATGACTGAATTTCGTTCCTGCTATAATTGACTAAATTTATAAGCCAGTTTTACCATATTATTCAATGATGGAACAGTGCTAAAATTACTTAGGAATAAAAATAACAAGCTAAGAAGTCCAAACTAACGATCATTGCCTTGAAAAAGGACTTCATATGTCTTTTCCAATATAAATAAATCTGCTTTTTTTAAAAATTCATTTAACTTCCCTTTATTTTATATCATTTAATGATTTGTTTTTTGTTAAAACTTTGTTTCATTGTTTTACACGTATTGGATGAAAAATCGATATCTGAAAATAGGAAATTAATACCTGAAAAAGAAGCAAAGACATCAATTTAATAATAAAGAAAATACTAAGAAGATAATGTTATTTGTTTAATATCTGAAATATAAATAAAATTATTAATTACTTTCTTTCCTTAGGATCATGGAAGCCCAGAAAGCAGAAGTTCCGTAACGACAATGACCATTCGTCTGAAAGATTCCGATGATCAAAATCCGATATTTACAAAAGAAATTTATAAGACTCATGTCTTAGAAGCGGCTGCCATAACGGTAAAAAAAAAGTCATTCTTTAAACCATGAAATTTAAATTGGATTTTTGAAGCATAATGTCACAATACAAAATATTTTGTTTTACCTATAGGGAGCAAGAATCAGAGTAAAATTATCCTTAGATCCGCCGATTCATGCCTTTGATCAAGATGTTGGAGTCAATGCGCCTTTGCGATATTCGATAATACACGGTAAGTTACTGTGATTTTTAAACCACCCAAACTATTTTTTATTTTATAACTGGCGTAAAACAGCCAACCCGATTCTGAGGCTTCAAACTGTTAATAACCAACTCTGTAACACTGTAATTTTGAACCCAACCTTGAAGATAAAAGAACTGGATCAAGCATTGATATAAACTAGTCCTCTTGGAGGACTTTTTGATGGAACTAACTATCATTTGCGTAACATGGAGAGGAAAACCACGAAAATCTTCCATTGTTAGTCCATTAGCAAGGGTATTCTAACCCATGATCCACCTTCCACTGAGGGTATTTTGTGTTTGCACTGCGGTCGTTGCGAGCCGGGAGCAGAATTCTTACAACAAGCCATATCTAGGATTTAAACCTGGATCACTTCATAGGGAGGAGAGCACTCTATCCTCTGAGCCACAGCTATTTTATCGTAATATATAATTATATTCTGAGCTGATGAAGTTTTGGTCTAGTTTTTTTTTAAATATTTCTTTAAACTAATTACAGATGTTGCTTGAAAATTACGCTGTTTTTTCAATTTAATTTCTTTATTTTTGCACAAAATTTTTTTCTCAATTTCTGTTGAAATACAATTTTAAAGCTTGAATTATTGTACAGTTTAAATGAAGTACTGCAAGTTTAAAATTTTAGAAACCGTTGGAAAAGGTGAGGTGTGTGTAAATAAGAAGTGCAAAGTCATGTAGAGCTAGGGAATGTCAAGTGTTCAGAATTTTTTGAAAAATTTAGATAAATAATTGAGAAAAAAAGTAAAGATCAGTAATATTTGTGACATAAAAATATCATAGAAACAAAATTATGCTTATTTTAAATATTATCCGAATTTTTACAGGTCCTTACGAACTTGCATTTATGCATAATTAATTATATATTATTTATAAAAAAATAAAATCTATATTATTTATAAGAAATTATGTCATATAATTTTGGATGCAAATCTTTTTTATGTTTGCATAAAATCTAATTTTAATTAAAATGTTTTTCTTAATTTAATCCTACATTTAAAACAATATTTCTTTACGTTTTTTCATTAGGGCTTAGTTTCGTCTTTAATAAAAAAATTTTGGTAGTAAAATGTTTAGAATTCACGATCCTTTTTTCGATTATTTTCGGCCTTGACTATCTGTTTCGAATAATCCGAAAATGCATAAAAGTTTTTATTAAATGTTTTAACCAACCTTGTTCAATAGATAATACTTGCTATACTTTCAATAACAAAACAAATGTATGATTCGTATGTATTATTTTTTTTTTTACTGTAATGATAGCTTTTTAAAGTAAATCAATGTAACTCTTAACTAAAGAATCAGTTTTTGCTGCGAAACGATTGTTATTCAAAACCAATAAACTTACTTATTTTTTAAAAATAACTGTTACTTTAATCATAATGCTTGAATTTTCCTTCAGGTAATGAAAAAGGATTATTTGAAATGCATGATCAGATGGCAGATCTTTATTTAGTCAAAGAAATAGATCGAGAATCATTGAAGAGTCCAATTCTCACTTTGCACATTCAGGTATGATATATTTGTTTTTCATTCAACAATATTATAAAAACTTAGTTTTGGAAATCATTATTATACGTGGTTTGTTTCCACATATGGAATTTTAAGATAAAGTTTGCCTTGTTTTAAGTTTAAAATGATGGGTATTTTTAAGATTATTCATTAAATCATGTGTTCCAAAACCAAAAAACATCCTTGTTTAAAATAATGAAAGCAAAATCAGCTTTCAAGCCCAAAATATACCACATTGGTAAAAAGAATAAAAATTAAGTAAAATAAATAAGTGGATTAAAGTTAGAGAAAAACTATAAAAAATTTAAATTTTTTTTTTTTTTTTTTTTGCATTTAAAAATTAATAAACTAAAAAAATAAATGAAGGAAAAGGACATATTAAATTTGTATAAATTTTGTATTTTTTTCTTTGATTGCTTGAAGGATTTACTTTCATATTTTAAATACAAACTAAACAGTATCTTATTAAATTCCAAATTTATGTAACTAATAGACTATATGAAGAATAGTTTGCTTTTCTAACAAATTTTAATTTTACACTTCCTTTAACTTAAGATATGTAAAATTAAAATGAAGTAAGATATGATAAAAATTGAAGTCCAAATTCTACAAATGATAGATATCAACAAATTCAATAAATAAAAAAAAATCAATTTTTGACTCTTAAACTCTATACAGTAATGTAAATTTTTGTGATGATATTTGTCGATGAAGGCTTATAAAAACTTAGACAAAATAATTTTAAAGAAAAATTTAAAAAAAAAAATATTTAAGAAATAAATATTATTAGTGAGAGGAAACTAAATATGTATTGAATCAATTCTTATTAAAGACTATTATTTAAAAAAAATTGGAACAGTTGGTTCATTTTAATACAATTCTTTTAACTATTCTTACAAGCAGAAAATTTTAAAAAAATATTCTGTTCATATATAATATTTTAAAACCTTTGGTATTTGTGAGATTAAATATAAGTATTCTTTTTGGCATCTACACGAGATAAATTGAATTAAACAGGTTGATAAATTTAATCTGCTGATATATTCTTGATACAATTCCTAAGTAATAATAAATAACCTTAAATGTTCTGAAATTTAAAACATTTTGAATTTTTAACAGTGATTTTTGATTGAAAAATATTGCTTTCCTTTTGTCTTTTGAAATAGTCAAGATTTGCATTGGTTTCTTTGTGCTGAATAACTTATTTGCAATTTTATTTTACTTTGCATTTTGTTAATTTCATTGCAGATCAGCACTTATTTACAACACGCAGAAATGTTTATTTCAAAGTTTTTTATTTTCTAAAATAAAAAAAAATAAAAATAAAACGGATCAGTTGTTATTCTAGAAGAATCAGCTGCTATTCATTCAGAATTCGTCCAATTTGAATACCAATGCCTTGCAAACGAAAGAGAATGTGATTTATCTACTCGAAAGCTACCAATTTTTCTGGTAGTCTATAATTTACTTAACATAATACATTGACGCGTGAGCCCTAAGCAATTTCGAAAGAGTGTTTCCCTAAGCCCCGAAACAATGGTGACTTTCCCTTTCGCCTAATTCTCTAACTCGGTGACCCATTCTAGATCATGAGCAGATTCAGAAAGTGATCTCATAAAATAACTTCACTGATCGTTCGGAAAGTTACGATCTATAGGTGTGCAATTAAGTATGTTTTATTATCCGTCGTACAAACTTTTATTGATTGATGTATTTGTCAGTGAAGGGATGATTTTAAATGGGGTATAAAACATAGGGTTATTAATTAAAAGCGTCGCAGTTTCATTGCTATTTAAATTATGCTAGAAGCATAAAGAGAACATAAAGAATATGTATTTAAGTATATTATTTGCGCATGGAGAAAAATATACTAGTAAAATTATCGCACTAATTGGTAATGACATTTTTGGTGAAAAAAACAAAAACAATTCTAATAAATAAAACCAAAATATAAGGCATTTAGGCCACTCATTTGGCAATTTTTCCGGTCATGTGGTAACGGTTAATAGGAAATTCTGTTTTTCAAAATCATAGTTTTCATTACTACACATTTAGTTAAAAATACAAAACTGAAAAATAAATTTAACTGAATAAATAGTTTTTATGGCATGCATCATCACCATGATAAAATTATCACGGTATTCCCCATTTACCGAATTTTATTACGTATTATAAAACTATATTTTATTGTTAATTTTCTAAAATAATTGGGAAAAATTATCGAACGTTTTGGTTTTCCCATAGACTCTAGAGCCAGCAATAAGGTAAATAAATTTTAACATATTCTGATAGTTTTGACCATAATTTCTTTTCTCAATGTATAAATTGTTTCAAAATGAATAGAAATACTATTAGCAATTCGCTTAGGAAAAATGGATAATCTTAATAAACTAAGAAAAGCACTATTTGAGTAAAGTTTTTTTTGTAATTAAATCAAATTATTATACCGATGAGACATCTGATGAAAACTGTAATTGTTAAAACAGTATATAAACTTATTTATTCTTAAAAATATTAACAACTGTTTTGCTTTCTTTTACAATGACCACTTTTTTTAAAAAAATAACGAGCACGTGAAAGTGAGTTACGTTGCATTATCAATGTGTATTAAAATTGTATTAATGCGGATGCTTTTTTTTTTAAATTTTAAACTTATATCTTAAAAGAAAAACTCAGGCTTTACACTTGGTGCCTATTTATTAAAAATATTTTTTGTTACGATATTTAAAAATCATTAAAGATTAGAATAATTATTCACAAAGGGTATGCATAAAATAATGGAATTGTTTTTAAATAAATCTAATCGCGAAATTTGGAATATATATTTTTTTTAACACTGAACATTTTCTCTAAACATGTATGTACTTGAATCAATCCTAAACTTTGAAAAATAAAGAGACACTGTTCAAAATAAGTAGGTCTTAAAATTGGTCAAAAAAGGGAAAACCGCATAGGAAGGTAGGTAGTTAAAAATTGTACTCATTATCACAGAATACTCTTATAATTTTAATTATTCCGCAAAATGTGTTCATTTGCTGACATATTTGTCTATGAAGGTTTTTTCTTTCTTCATGCAATATCACCTTACATTCAAATTGAAGAACCCTTTCAGCAATTTATCACTTATTGTCCGATGTAAGTTAGAAAGTTATTGTAAATATTTTAACAAATGTTATTAAAGCTAGGGAAAAAATTCAAGCCAAGTTTTTATTATTATTTTAGTTGCTTTAAGTCATCCGCATAATTTTTAAAAAATGCTGCATCCTAGTCTCCTAATTTTTAAAATATCTCATGATTTATAGTGTTAATACTATTAATATTTCTCATTCCAACAGATGGCGCTCTGCGCTGTAATGTAAAAATTAATTGTTATTTAGATTTCTCTCCGTCATTAAAGCACTAGCGTCATTCCTTTTTTGATATTAAATTTATTTTCTGTTAAAGGCGCTTCATAAATTGAACCCCGAGACCATCGTATTTAATATATAATTATAAATGTTTTGCTTCTATCAATTTGATTTTCAGTGCCTTAGGATTTAAACACAGATATTGAAATAAATTTGCAATTTCTACTACATTAATCAAGTTTGATGTCACATCAAAACATGCATAGTAGGGGGTCGAAACTCCGCATTTCTAAAATGGATTCTCAATGGCATGCAGACGTCAATAACCATGGGATATAGTACAAAATGCTCATTATTAATAATGATCATGAATAATTTTCTGATTCATCGTTTTTGACCTAAATGTACATGCCAAGATAAATATGCAATTTGTCAAAACTAACTTACTTAATTAAAATAAAGCCCTTTAAATGAAGGATTTTGGGAGAGATCATTCGTTTTATGACCTACAATTGATCTAACACTGAGGTCTTAACACAAACGTCAATCATTTTGAATGGCATTAGCTTTACATTTTTTTAACTTCTTAGATACATTGATTGAAGAAATAAATTATTAATTTCTAAATTTCGTGTTTATTCTCATTTTGAAATGGAAAGTAAAACGATTTTGTTACGAAATGGCTTCACAATCGAAGGCTGGAATTGGATTTGAATAAAAATACTTCTGCTATTCTCATTGGAATTCTTAAATGTTCTCATTAAAACAAAACTAAAGTATTATCTTGAAAAACATGTCAAATTGATTCATATGGATTTCATTTCTATTATGTATAACTGAAACTTAATATCTTAATATATAATTTGAAATCAACCGTAGATATTTTCATTAAAATGAGGCTAAAATATTATCATTATAAACAAGCTTAGAAGTTTTCTCACAAGTTTTTAATTATTAAATATTTTAAACAAAAATGACTAGCATAATAACTTATTTGTTGAAAAATAACTGCTTTCCTTATAAATAAATTAGAATTAAAAGAGAAGGTTCAACTGTCAAAAAAAAGAAGCTCCTCTAGCCGATTAGAATTAACTCTGACTCAAATTAAATTTCAAATTCAATATTTTCCAACTAATTCTCTAATTTCATTAGTAGCATTATATAAATATTAGCAAATTGTAACTAATACCTAATTCCTGACATTCGGGATTTAAAATTATTTTGCACACTATCGAAAAATGTATCTTTTTCCCTAGAATAGTAAAGAAATCAGCTTTATATATTCTAAAAATACATCTTATCATATAGAAATTTAGTTTATATTAGAATTTTATACCTTATTGTAAACTAACACAGAAGCGAAAGTGAAACTGAACATCTAAAGTTTTTTTTTCAAGGATCGTAGGTTTTCAATTATTCAGTATTGTTCAACAAAACTAGCCAACATAATACCTTGATTGTTGAGGAAGAACTGCTTCACTTATAAATAAACCAGAATTGAAAGAGAAAGCGCGATTGTCAAAGATACTTTCTCTAGTAAATCGGAATCAACTCTGACTGAGATATCCCAGATAAAGTAAAGTTTTTTTATACTAATTTTAGATCAACGAGAAGAAAAAAGGACTTTTTGTATTCTTTTTCTTCCTCTTGACT